CACAAGATCGACATGTTAAAACATCTATAATTACTATAAATAATTAACTAAAAACCTTTAGAAAACAGTAAAAAAAGGCGTTATCCGATAATGGTTTTCTAGCATAATATTTTTGGAAAAGGTTTATAGTTTTACCTGTGATAGTTCCTATTGTAATTAGATGTTTAAGCTAAGATGGGAGAACACAACACTGCTCTTTAGATTAGGACCGAGTTTTCAGTTATATTTTGTACTGGACACAGTTTATCTAATTTATTAGAGACTATGTCCGATATAAATATAATTGAAAGCCTAATATTCCATTTTCCCTTGGCAAACTCAAATAAAATCATTTTTTTAAAAGAATTTTTGAACAAATCTATTATTAACGTCGAAATAGAATCTTGCTAAATTTGAAATATACTTAAATATCTTCTACTATAGATGTACTTAAGTTGAAACGAAATTTTAAATTCAATCAATTTAATAGAATTCCAAACTAATGTAAAGTTAATTTCGAAACTACTTGGGCAATATTCAATTTTCAGAAATCGCAATATATTATAAAGCTGTTCATTATGGCGCATTTACGAAATACCCCAAAATTTAAAAAAATTTGACTGCTAATACGTAAATATAGGTTTTAGCTGAGATAATCAACATCCCCCAAGTTATGATGCGTCATTTAATAAATTCTTATGTCTAATGGGATGCGTCGGGGAGTGGGAATATGGGTTAGCATGTGGGAAAGATGGGTTGGGCGCGTTATCAGTACAGATCAGGGGTTCAAAATTTTTTTTCGGGGTTTAACATTGATTGATTAATTAATTTTGGGAACCAAATGGATTTGTCTGCTTAATTTCGCAAATGCGCCATATATATATTAGTTACGTTTTACGTTAGATTATTATAAGTAGAGGTATGACTATTGGATGATAGCTACTTCCCTTGAAACTACATCTTATAATGCCAATTTATGACAGTAATTGTACTTGTGGAACTTCTTGCATACTTATAGAAAAATATCAATCAATTCAGGCCTAAAGGACTCAATTGTATTAGGTGTAATTTTAAAACACCCAACTTAGTCCCAATTCTATAACAGTAATAATCAATAAGAGGTTTTAGAATTAATGATTCAACGTCCGATTTCAGATAAAATATTTATTTCCGACGTACAAATTCTATTTTTTTTTACTGATGAATGTTTATAAAAAAAAGCTAATTTTATCATCGGCTACGCCTATTTAATTTTCTGATTCGGAATTCTAAAAAAGTAGATAGAATCTTTTAAACTCCCACTTATTTTTGAATAAAGTTAATTCTGAAACCCCCTAACGTTCCAAGATTACGTAAACCAAATGGTTTTCTAGCCTAATAACGATCTTTTGCAGTTCTATAATTGATCTTGTAAACTTTAATGCAGAAATCATATAATTTTTCTTATGCAATAAAGGTTTTATGTCATGATTTACCATTGAGAAGTTTGGTATTAGTTCAGTATAGAAAGTGCAAAAGAACTATGTTATAATATTAATAGTTTATTTTATTGGTTGATTTTTATTGGCGTATTGTTATAAATGATTTTCAAGTATGCGACTAAAAACTGGAAATTTTTTTTTTTAACAAACACGTTCTCTGCTTATACATAAAGAAACCTTTTTGAAGTTTGTTGATGGCTAGTCTTAGAAAGGCCAGACATATTAACAACATCGAATAACTTACATAATACCATGAATAAGTCGCTAGATACAATAAAGTTTTTTATTTACATTGATTTGGTCTGTAAGTATCATTTTTCAATTGAATTACTTATCTATTCTATTTAATTTTTCTCTTTTTTTATTTTTATTTTTATATTCACATTGATTATTAGAGAGTTTTAATAACTATATTAATATATATATATATATTTGATATATTTTTTTTGTCCAAAGATACTGGGTAGATGACAATCAAATATTAAAAAACACCACACTATGTTAAAACTCTGTGGTGGTGATGATCAACCTGAATTTGGGATAGGGGAAAGTCTATTCGAAGCATTTTCTGAAAAAAGGAACGCCACTGGCACTAAAGAGAAAAGTACCTGGTGCAACAGAACCCTGAAAAAAATAAATGAGGATAGCAAAAAAACACAAATTTGGATTAAGTAGAAATAGTGAGTTAGCATTAGCAATGCATTCACTAAAACTACCACATTAAACGCTTTGAAAATCTAATATATTTAAAATTTTTAAAGGATAAGGATGATTTTAACGATTTAGCTTCGTCTACGTCAAGCAAAATTGAAGCCAAGAATATTAAGTCCTCTGAAAGATATTTTTATGAACCAAAAGCAGATTTAACTAAAAAAGGTATTGGAAGAAACAGTCTCAAAAGTTGAGATAGAAGAAATATTAGCAAATAACAAATACTTACATTTGTCATTAAATATATTTGTAGATATACCTAAAAAAGCTATTGGAAGAACAGTCTCAAAAGTTGAGATGAAGAAATATTAGCAAATGACAAATACTTACATTTATCATTAAATATATTAGTATTAAAGCTTTTGATTAGTACTATAAAGCATAATTTCGAATTTTCATTTTCTAGTAATTACGAATCTCAAAATAAAGAGCAGGGAAAGTGGGTGTAGCGTCCAGAATTGAGAGAGCGATAAGTATGCAACGCATTTTAGCTTTGGGCACTACATAAGTTATGCGGGATGAATGCTTTATTAGGGGTTTCGATAGTTGGTCATTAAGGAAAGTGTTACTATTAGAGTTATCAGGATTATTTTTGTCAACTGTGTGTTCAACCTTCTACTCGTTCATCCTTCCTGCCGAACCTCCCCTCCCATTTTATTAATAAAGGGCTACTTTATATATTTACAGTATTCCCATTCTACACCTGATTTAGTTATAATACATTAATCGAAGAAATATAGTAATAATCTATGATCAAATTATTACCCATCGCATGATTACCTTTTCAGTAGTATCTGCATGGTGTTATTAACGATAAAGGAATTGATATGATAGCACGTATTGATGTGCAAAGATTGAAAAAAAAACAAAATAGGTAAATATCGGTGAATATTTTTGCTGTTAAAGACGAATACTTATCAATCTTTGCATGTTCATAAGACCATCTGTTAAACTACATTTGACGGAGTACTCACTAGTATTTTGGACTTATAGTGCAAAACTGAATTTTTCAAATTCAAAAATATTTTCGCTTGAAACACTAGTGCTCACCTGACACCTAGTGGAACTATAAATGCCGTCACTAAAATGGATTATTCGTTTGAAAATGTGAGGGCAGCAGGAACATCAATCTGCAATACCTTTGAAGGCTTCTCTACGGCATTTACAAAATAACATAGCTACTTTGAATCTTGGTGTCTCCAAGAATAAACAACAGCATAGATTCTTTTGAAAAAATCTTCATAGATTAATTATTAATTGATGATACCTTTTAAAATGTTGCATCTCGATCTACAAATTATTAACATGGCTAGGGGAAGTTAGAACATCAAGTCAAAAAAAACAAATATTTGTTTATTATATCAGACAGGAAAAATATGACATATTGGCTATGAAATTTTAGATCTTAAAATAATTGTACTCGGGCCGGTCGACTAGAAAATTTTTCAAGAGTTTATTAATCTAAATACTCGTTCAAGAATCTAGATTAACAAATCGTATAGATCCTAGTTGAAAATATAAAACCATTATAGCAATTTATGTATATAGAACAAAGCCTCATATATGATCTAAATAAACGTTTATGAGGTTCCTTTTGTCGCGACTACCATTAATTGCTTTTGATAAATCGGATCCAACGAGAATTTATTTAGGTGATACTGTAACTTACAGAAAAAATATTGTAGAAATAGAACTGCCTAACCCGAAAGCTTCAACTAGTAATTTAATAACTGTTGATGATGGAAACCCAGAAAAAAATGTAGTTGTTAAAATTGCAATATATGCACAGTGCACATAAATTTTTATTGTACAAGCATAACAATTCCGTTATATTTTACTATCAGCAAAAATCCGACAAAAACAAAAGAAAAGACAACATACTCGTAAATCTAGGTAAATGGCTAAATAAAAGGGTTAAGAAAGCTTTTTTATCATCTCAATACGGCCTAGATTTCGCGTTTAAAGTATAGCATATTGTAATTGAAAAAGCGATATCAGTTTGCAATTGCAATTGCACTTCGCTATTGCAATGTCTAAAATGCCTTTATTAAAAAAGGTTGAACGAAAGGTTCCTTTCCTGGAATTGCAAAGAAATTTTGGCTGTAATATCTGCACAAAGATAATACAAGTAAAAGAATAATTACACAATATAACCTTTATTCGGGAAAAGGTCACATCAAATCGCATATTAGTATATAGCAAAATTGAAACACTAATCATGTAATCCATTCCGATTTAGCTTTTTAGAATTAAATGCCGGGGAACCTTTGATGTGATTCTAGTTTCGATATCCGGGTTCGCTGAAACAAAAAACAAAGCCATCTGTTACCACCTCCGAATTACCCTGAATTTTTATGTACTTTCACCCAATTGAATGACTTAGATGATTTAAAATTAGGCTATTCCCAACAACTAAATCAAATATAATGACAAAGAAAGTGGCAAATTCGTTCGCTATACTCTAGATCTTTATAAATGCAAAATTGAATGGAAAAGATTCAACTTTAACCTATCAATAAGAATTATATATAATATATTATATTCAGTTCTAACCCTCTGCCATTAATCAAAAAATATCCGGTATTTCCAATTCATATAATTTACTATCTATAAAAAAGATTATTAAACAATACTGTAATATAGATTAAACTGCTTATTAAGAAAATTAAAATTATAATTACCTTGATATTTATAATCACTATTAAATGAAATAAAATTACTTTTGTAATGTGATTCAATATATATTTGCATATCATCATTTTTTATATTTCGTAATTTTTTATTAGATTCAGATAATTCTAATATTTTTTCGTTATTCTGCCATTCTACGAAAATATCGTAAACTTCTTTTGCTTTTGGTCGTTTTTCTGGCTCTGTATTCCAACATTTCTTCATTAAATCGGCATAGCATATTGGTGTATCCTCGTAAATATGCGGTCGTAAGCCATCACATACTTGTAATTGAAATCGTAATTTGGAATCTTGTTCAAAAGGTATAGGTTTACCATATAAAATCTCCCACATAATTATACCAAATGAATAAATATCAGACTTTAGTGTATGGTTGTTTGTTCAAAATTTCAGGTGCAATGTATGGTAAAATTCCATAAATTCCAACAGATTTTGATTTTAAGGCAATATTAGTTGTCATTGAAAGCCCTAAATCTGCTATGTATGCACTTTTAAAACTATTTAGTAGTATATTTCCGCTATGTAAATCCCGATGAATAAGATCATAGAATGAATTATCTGAAGATCTGATGTAATGCATTGTAGCAGATTCAATTTATCTTTCCAATCCATTTGGGCTATAACATATAGATTTTTGCGCAAGCAACCTTTCGAGGCATATTTCATAACAAGAACGTAATCTTCAGAAGCTTTGTCTTTGATATACCAAAGCATTTTAAAAAAGTTGGATTTTTAAGACCGATATCGCAATATGCTTTTAACTTATTAAAAAGAAATATACATTATTGATATAAGCGATAAATCAGAATAATATAATTAATAAAATATTTATAAAGATTACCTCTTTTATAAATTCTTCATGATAATTATTTGATCCATGAAATAATTTAAGAGCAACGTTTCTGTTTAAAATTTGACTTTTATCATACCATCTAGCATAATATACTGTTGCAAATCCACCTTTACCTATCTCTTTAATATCTTTAAACTCATCGTAAGAAATCCATGATAACTGATATTTATTTTCGATCAATATTTTTTTCAAATTATCTCAATCCTCGGATTATGTGCCCATTTATTTGTAGCTAATAATTATAAATGACAATTTAAATTATCAATAGACCAATAATATCCAATAAGTAATGATATATAATACCTGATGTTAAGTCTTTCACTCTAAATGGGGATTTAAATATATGAAGTTATTAAATAAAATGTATAATATATTGATATTATGAAAGTGTATTATAATTTAGTGGCAACTTAGATCAGGTGTAATAATCATTTTTCTTTAAATCAAATCGTCTACAAATCGAAATTTGCTCATGAAATCATCTAAAATTTTTTGCTGAACTTTAGGTTATCACTCTACCTAACTCTAATTTAACCGTAAACCTTGATTCTAAACTAATCCGTTTTTGATTCCAATTACACATGATCTTATAATTTTATAACACTTTCACAGATTTAAACTCAAATTAAATTTACCTTTGATACGATTTATGTAGATCTCTCGTCATTCCAATTCCATTTCGATAACAGTCTGCAACACTTGACATCCCACTAGTGTTTCCCATCTCTGCAGATTTTTGATAATAAATGAATGCCTTATGTTCGTTCTTTTCAATTCCTATTCCATTTTGATAACAACATCCAACATTATATGTTCCACTAGTGTGCCCCATTTCTGCTGATTTTTGATAATAAATAAATGCCTTATGTTCATCTTTTTCAACTCCAAATCCTTTTTTATAACAACAACCAACATTATATGTTCCACTGGCATGTCCCATCGTTGCAGATTTTAGATAATAAGTGAATGATTTATGATCATCTCTCCCAACTCCAATTCCTTTTTCATAACAATACCCAACATTAAATGTTCCTCCAGCGTGCCCCATTTCTGCAGACTTTTGATAATTAATGAATGCCTTAAGTTCATCATTTTCAACTCCAATTCCGTTTCTATAACAATATCCAACCATCATAGTTCCATTGGCATTTTCCATCTCGGCAGATTTTTGATAATAAATGAATGCATTATGTTCATCCTTTTCAACTCCGATTCCATCCTTATAATAGTTACCAAGGCAAAATAATACATTATCGTTCCCCATCTCTGCTGATTTTTGATAATGAATGAATGCCCTACGTTCATCCTTTTCAACCCATTTACCACAACCATAACAACATGCGAGAACGATTTGAACCATAGGATTGTCTTCATTATTTAACAAAAATCGATAATATCATCTGGATTTTGCTTTTCCCTTAATAGAAATTGTTCTAATGTGCTAAGAATTGAACGGGAATTTTTGCCTTTCAATCTTTCTTCATTATATAAAGTATACATTTCTCTAACAACTTCATTAAAAAAATCCTGTGAAAAATTCTGTGATTTGCTATCTTCTAAATACAATTAGGTATCATTACTTGGTATTTGAGCGATATTTGATGAATTGTTGGTTTTTTCCAACTGCTTTTCAGATAGATTATCGTAAATTGACATTTTGATGCAAAAAGAGTGTAAAGAATGTGTTACATATAGAAGTATCAAATCTATTTATAAATGTATTACATTGCAAAATGTACTGTGCATGGTTTACAACTATCTGTGTGCAAAATCTCGCATCCTATTGAATGGCATATTCAGATTGATAATTGGATGTTTTTTTTTAAATCTATAGCTGGTAGTAAATTCGATGAATTCCGTCGATCCAATTGGTATGTTGTGCGGATACGAAAATCGATGTTTTCGTTACCTTTTCCGATAGTTAATTTTGATAAAATTTGTGGCTGTGCATGTCTTTTAAATTTTAATATAATACTTATAATACCTTTCGAATCAATTTTGATGAAATTGCGCATGGCTTTTAAATTTTAATACCTGTTATATCTTAGATTTATTATTGAGTCTTAGAACTTGTGACTTTACGCTGCTTTTATGAATAGGCTTATTAATTAAACCAATCGTTAATATGTATTGTGCGTGCGTACATGCCTTAATACTCGTTCATTTTTACTTTCGGAAAATGGTCTGATCTAATAATATTGGTAATTTAGAATTAGTGGGATTTAAAGTTAACAAATAAGTTAAAATCTTTAATCATCTCATTCCATTCGACATCTGAGAACAAATTTTTTACTTCGATGTCCTCGTCAAAAGATCCAATATTCCAAAATAAGCCGGACTATAAATAAAAATATAAGAGGCACTGGAAAATATGTTTACGCAGTGTAACTTACTAGAGGTATGCCTTTGTGCGAGGAATTTTTTCACAGTATTCAGATAATATTACACTAACATCTCTCCCACTCGGCAAAATCCAACTTGTAATGGGATCAGTCAAGGTCTAAATTAAAAGAAAGGATGAATATAAGGTAAACACAAAAAAAGAAATAATAACATAGATATTAATATATAAACCTTTTCTGTTGAGATTTCTTCTTCATAATACTCCTCATAATCCCGGAATACCTTATGATTGTCGGCATCGCTATCTGTTAATACGATGTTTGAATCCATACTGAATACTTTGTTGTTATCAAAATCCGCCTCATCAGGATCTGTCTTTGATTTGTCACCAGCAATTCTTCTTCATCGTAATGTGTATTTTCAGGCTGCTGTCGTTTTTTGCTATTTTCAGCATATGACTTTCAAAGTAAAATAATAAGCATTCGGTAATCAGTTACAGTATGTGCACCGAAAATAAACTAAGTATTGAGTATGAGCATCGCTTAATACAGTTTTATCTTTGACAATATTTGTCATCTCCCGTGTTGTATACATTTCCTAATTTGTATGGCTATAAGTCAGACATTAATCCAGAGTGACGAATGCTTTTAACACTTACACTTGCATGAAAAAGATCCAATTTACTGAAATACTGTCAGACATCAGAATTTGCCCAAGTGGACTCAAATTTGGACTCGAGACATTCTAGTTTACGTCTTGCACTCACTAATAATGAATTTGATATTTGGCGTGTTCCAATTATATTTTTTATAATGGTCGCAACTTCGTCCATGCTGTCAGACGTGAACATAGGCTTCTATATCGAATGCAAGCAACCTAGGATACTCCATTCAGAGTATTTAACAGTGTCAAAGTAGTTGCTAATTTGTCAGTATAAATCTATTTGTTGATCTAGTAATATTGAAAGATAATTAATTAATAACTATAACATGTCTAATAATATATAGCTAGAAACTTTGTTTAATAGCAACTAGTTAGCAAATACCATGAAGTAGGTAATAATGTAAACACATAAACAAACACTATCATCAAGGCAGGTATTCTGAACTATTGCTGCCAAACATTGGCCAAAAGGAGTCACAAACATGAATTCACAGTAGTGCTAATTGCTCATGGAGTAGATGACAATATAGACACGGAAAAAATACATGTTATCAAGGCAGATATCCTGAACAATTGCTGTCAAACATCAGCTAGTAAACATGAATTCATGGTGGTGTACAATTAGTGCATAGATTGCTAAATCACAATATCTGGTCAATATTCATCATAGAGTAGATAACAATATAGACACAAGAAAATACATGTCATCAAGGCAGGTATCCTGAACAATTGTTGCCAAACATTGGCTGGCAAACATGAATTCATAGTGGTGTACAATCAGTGCATAGGAAGTTTATAATATCACAGTATATATTTAATGAATATTTACTTCTCTGAACTGGTAACAATAAAGCAAGAATAAAAAGAATTACTTGTACATGAAAACAATAAATTACAATTTTTTATTGAATATCACATTATAAAGAATTCAAAGATTTGAGTTATAACAAAATGAACATTTGGTTTGAATTTTTTGCTTGTGTACATTATATCTAATCTTAACAAATTTAGAGAATGTCTATAAACTAGCATTGTTATAGAGATCTTAAAAATAATACAAAAATAATACTATGTGAATTATCTTCAAAGTCTCTATTTTTATACAATACTGTACTAGTTTAATGTAAATTATAGATGTCCTCTTATTAACTCAACAATTTTTACTCTTATTTATAAAAATTCACAAATTTGATTGGTCAGATATTTTTAGTTTACTAATCACTTTGTTTATGCATTTATAAATATATGGTGCTGGAAGCTTTAAATCTCCATAAAAAATAGCTTTACAAAAAATACTACTTCTCTTTTAAAAATTTATAAAATGTAAAAC